CCTGTAACTGTGGTGAGTCACCTGTCCTCTTGGTCAAAGAGGCTGTGGAGACCCCACCAGATGCACCTGAACTAGTTTCCAGTCTACAAAGAGGAGCGTCAACACAGATGAAATATTGCCTCTATGCTTCCAAGCAAAGCCAGCCATGGTCAAGCAGGACCTGTGACTTATCTTCACATAGATGGAACTGGTAAAAGAAAGGAGCCAGGGGCTCCTCCCAAGCCCATTTTACCCCTGAGGAACAGATCCTCAAACAACCTTAAGAGTAAAAATAAATTGGTTTATCTGGGCCAATTGTAGGGTCTTAAACACTCAAAAGGAAAGTATAACCAAAGATTAATGGGTCAATATAATTTTTTAAGAGTCCATGTGTATAGCTAAAGGCTACATGACAAGAAACAATGCCAGGCAGGAGATACCTTCCTTTGAGTTATTGGTCAGGGTGGCCCCAAAGACTCCCAGACAGTAACCCAGCATAAAACTGGGAAAATGAACAGCAGACCCCAATCTTATCTAAAGGAATATTAACTGATCTTCTTAATGCAAGGATCTCTAGATAGGCTGACTAGATTCAGCAGATGGACAAGCACTGGGGAATGGCTAGGGGTGCAGAAAACATAGTGGACAGTAACAGGGATGACAGAGTATATGGGCTCCAATGTGTGGGAGGGGGGAGGCTATGGGAGGGTGTCATTAAGGAAGTGCATATATAGATGAATAAGATTGTGTGGGATGTTCTGTATGATATACACACAAAACAATCAACAAATTAAAAAAAATGACATTTGAGGAGGAAGCATAAAATTTACTTCATGTTAATTAGTAGAGGTGATAAACACTACCATTGAAATCTACCTGATGACTTCATTTCCAAACTCAGGTGCCAAGGATCTGAGTCTGTAACTATCTGTGACTAGTAATAATCAGATACATAGAGATTAAAGACATGTGTGCAAACATCTTAGTGCTAGTAGTATTAAAAATGTAGGAAACAGCATATTTTAAAATGAAATGGAGATCTTCATTAAAGGGTAAAAACTCACTCAAATTTATGTCTTTCAGGGTTTATACTGAGTTCCATATTGTATAACCATATTAATTCAATGTAAACCTAAAAATTTACAGCCACTTTTGAACGAGGTGTATCCTTGCTCTGGAAATTGTTACTGAATATGTTAAAGCTGTAATGAAATGCTTCCTCTAATCATGTGGTTATTGAATAAAAAAGAAAAGAAATGTCAAAGTCAAACTTAATCCTTAGGTTAAGCTCTTATAGCAGCCACAGGAGAGATGTTCTCGCTCCTTGCTGTTTGTGTTTTTATAGTAGATGGACTCTCACTGAAATGGGCCAACAGCTCATGGAAAACAGATGATGCAGAGACCACTGCCTTTCCACAATGGGAGGAAGATCATCTGATACTTACCGCCCCACTAAGGCTCAGGGAGTTTTGTGGAAGAGATTGGCTGAAAGAATGTAAGAGCTGGAGGAAGGGATGGAGTGTTGCCTGAAAGTGTTGTCCAACCAGTACGCTGGCAAGTTATAGTTACACTTCCTTCCCATGCTCATCAAGTAGTTGAGGGGAGGAGTCAGCCACCCCCCACCCTATCAGCTGACCTTAGCTGCATTTGGGGGAGGGACTAAGGACATATAAGCCTAGAATGCCATGAGGCACCTCCCTCGCCATTTTGTGCAGATGTCAGGAAGTCACAGAATCTATATTTGAGTGTGGACTTTCCAGTGCAGCTGTAAATGGGGAGACACCCACTCTTCTGTATATAAACCCCTACTCTATGCTCTGTAAGCAAGCCCAATAAATTAGTTAGGATTTCCAAAAAATAAAAAAGAACAGAGCTAATAGAAACCTTCATTATTCTACCAACAATGACCCCATGTTGGCAAATCCTTTGGTCTTTGATTTTTTTTTTGGTCTTTTTGAGATAAGGTCTCCCTGTGGCCCCAGCTAGCTTGGAGCTGGCTCTGTGGACCAGGCTGGCCTCAAATTCACGGAGATCTGTCTGGCTCTGCCTCTCCAGTGCTGGGATTGAAGATATATGCCATCACTCCTGGCTTTGGTCTTTGATTTCTTATCCCTACTTTTCCAACCTTTAACTTCATTGTATATATATTTTATGTAATCTCCTTCAAGTTATTTCTGGAAAAAAATGTGTTAAAATTGTCTCTCTTTGGAATAATAAAAATATTCTAAAGAAAGAATAATAAAATAATAAAAAAGAAAAAAAAGAAGTGTTAAAGTCATGTCTAGGAGTACAGTGCAGTGGTAGAGTATTGTCTAGTGTGCACAAGGCCTTGATCGGATACTCAGTACAACAAGAAAGAAGGAAGGAGGGAGGAAGGGAGGGAGGGAGAGAGAGGGAGGTTGGAATTAAACATCATATCAAACAGATTTCAAAGGAAAGACATTTATGTGGGAGGAAATTCAAAGGTCACTTGATGATTAAATCCCATAGCCTGATACATGAATAAAGCAGTTATAAATTTCAAATGTTGAATGTTACTGAACCAAAATGTATAAAATAAAACTACGTAAATTGAAAGAGATCAGTACAACAGAATAATATTCATTGAGAGGTTTTCACATGTTTCAAAAACCATGAAGCCTATAAACATCTTTTAAAAGGTGAAATAATAATGATTTAATTAACACCAATTTAATTAGTAGAATGTAATACATTTTTAGCATAACTTGGGGCATAATGAAAATATTATTGAAATCAATAATTCTGAAGACGTGCAACAACACAAAATCTAGCAGAGTTAACTAAAAATCTCACTTGGAGATTTTAATATTATCTCTAAATAATTGTTAGTTCATAGAGAAAAATATTATTCCAGAGTACATAGCAAATAACTGTGATATTAGTAATTTCAAAATTATAAATTATGGTCAGAGGTTTTTTTTTTTCTTTTTTTGGTCCTTTTCAGACAGTGTCTCCCTGTAGTCCCAGCTGTCCTGGAACTCACTATGTAGATCAGGCTGGCCTTGAACTCACAGAGATCTGCCTGCCTCTGCTTCCCAGGTGCTAGGGTTAAAGGCGTGTGCCACCATGCCCAGCCAGAATTTTATGCAAGAGAAATCTGAATTCAGTAAGAGAAATTTTATTATTAAATAAAAAAGAATGAAAATAAATTAATATGAAGTATACTCGAGAAGGAGGTAAAGGTAGCAAGTTTAACCTGCAGGAAGATGTAATTAAAATAAAATCATGAACTAATCATCAGAAAACAGAGCTAGTAAAATAAACTGAAGATTTGGTTATTTAAAAGAAGCCAGAAATAGATTGTTTATTTCATCAAAAGTTTCAGTGTAGCAAAGCCATGCAAATCAGATCAACAGTAAAAGACAGAAAGCATAAGCTGTCCTCTCGGAAAGTTAGACGAGAATAAAACCTGATCATTTTTTAAACTTAAGACAGCATACAATCACTAACCACTTTGAAAACCTTGATGAAATCAATTCATTTTGAAAAAAATCTAAAATATTTATACTTACTAATAGAATGGCATTTGTTTCCCTAGCTAGTCTGATGCCATTCTAGAGGGCAGCATCTGGAGCCCTGTGGGGCAGAACTAAGAGCTATAGACTCGGAAATGTGACCCGCAATACCAGCACGCTTAGTGTCATCTAGTTTTCTGCCATCTTCAGCTTTCTGAGAACTGAACCACAGCCTTCACACCCCGCTCCTTGAATTCCTGACCCATTCAGTGTTGTCATACTACCTCATTCTAACACAACTATTTTATTACTTATTTTAAAACAAAAACTGCTTCCATTCTCTTGCCACATAAAAACAGATGCCATTTCCATAGTTCAGGATATTTGATGACTTAAAAGAATTGTTGATTCTTAGCCTGTGTACAAAGTCTGTCACATAGTTGGCATTAAATACATATTTGTTGAATGACTGCATGAATAAATGGAGAAAGGACTGAGCTTTCATTCACAGAGGAAAAAAAAGGTTGATGATGTCCATACATTTTGGTTGGGGTATATGCAGACCAAGCAGTTTTAGAGTACCATTCATGAAATTATGGTAGGCTGTATGTAGGTGACCACAGAGATGTGTCTATTTATGCAATAAAGAAGAGGACCAGAAGTAAAGTGAGTGAAAGAGCAAGGTAAAGAGTTAATAAATAGTAGAAGGGAAAGAAAAAGAGAGAGGGAGATTGCCTGCTTGATTTCCTGAGTTCATGAATATCTTCTTTTTATATAAGAGTCTAGGTGGAAAAAGATACTTATTATTTAAATTATGGAATTTTTGATGAGTTAGGTAAAAATCACAATTGTCCTTATTAGATTTTCTGTGTTTTCTTAGGTATATCCTTTTAGAGCATGAATTCTTCACCTTGGATGTGTATCAACTACAATTATTGATACTATTGCTTGTTTTCCTTTTTTTTTTTTTTCGGTCTTTTTGAGACAGGGTCTCCCGGTAGCCACAGCTGTCCTGGAACTCACTTTGTAGACCAGGCTGGCCTTGAACTCACAGAGATCCGCCTGCCTCTGCCTCCCAAGTGCTGGGACTAAAGGTGTTCACCACCATGCCTGACCTCCTCTCTTATCTTTAATACAAAGAAGTCCCGTGGGATAGTTCTAGTGCAGGAAAGTATTAAAAACCATCACTTACTTTGTTCAATAAACTCTACTAAAAATGGTCTTTGAAGTGTTTCAACAGCATCCACAGTTACTCTTAACATTATACATTGAATTTTGTCCACTTCTTGAAAAAAATCTTAATTCTGAAGGGAACTTTCCAACAAAAAGTAGCTTTACCTACATCTAGGCCATTCGGACTGTTTAGTTTTTAAGCCACAAATCACTGCTTTAAAATATCAATACATAAATTATCCTTTTCTATTTCCTAGATTTCCAGTATTCTTAAGAAATTGCCATTGATATTTTCAAGTTCTTAGTTTCCCCCTACAGTACAAATTTGACCAAGAAGCTAAAACTTTAGGAGGAGGGGATGAAGTCAAATACCTGCAGGGATGCTTCTGGATGCTTCTCTTTCAGCACAGGAGCAGCGGGAATTTCTAGAGGAGGTTTTGATGTCTTCTTTTTGGCTTTTTGCATTTGAATATTGGTGAAATAGTTGACAGCAGCAAACTCAATCAGAGCAGAAAATACAAAAGCAAAGCAGACAGCTATGAACCAATCCATGGCAGTTGCGTAGGACACTTTGGGCAAAGAATGCCGTGCACTGATGCTTAGTGTGGTCATCGTGAGGACTGTGGTTATTCCTTTAATGTAAAAGAGCAAAGGGACAGAACACTTACTGTTTTTTTTCTATGAAAAACAAGCAAACCCAAAGGGAGTAGATGGGATGAGGTTAATTAGCCAAGTTATTTCTAGCTGAAACCAATTGACTTTGATAAAGGATTCGAATCTTTCTCTTTCAGGGAAATTGGCACAGGTTTTGGAGTGTCAGCCAGATATGTTCAATTCCTGGCTCTTGTAATTATTAGCTAAATGTGACTTGGTTTAAGTTTGGAGAATTCATTTGGGCTTCTTTGAATCTTTGGTGTTAGCTATAAAAATTAAAAATATGTAAAGCATATTGAATATAGTGAGTCAATATTGGAATTTGAGCCAATATACCTAAGGAATTAATATACACACAACACAAGAAGGATGAGTCATTCAAACTGTGACTCTTAGCCAGGAGTGCGAAGCTGGGTACATTGGTCTTCTAAACTGGACTATCAGAATACACGGAGCCAGCAAGGCCAATTACCACTGAGAATAATTGCCAGCAAAAGCCATCATATATGCTCTTATTTTCAACTAAATATTACCCATTGGATAGAATAATACATTCACTAGATGTTCAGGATCCTGATTTACTAAAACTATGATTATATTCTGGATAAATAAATGTCTACAGAAAACTGGTCTATAAAATATAGGTGTTTACCCCCATCAGTTTACCACTTGCAGGAAAATATTTGCAACAAGAATAGAACTCCTTCACCAAGAGTTTCCTAAAGTACCACTTCCAGGACAAGTTCTGTCTTAGCTTATGGAAAAGGTTCTTCTTTAGCAGGAAAAACTCTGCTTGCCACTAGAACTACAGATCAATGCATTCCTTGAGGGTGCTAATGTTTGCATATTTGCCCCCCTTTTCCATCTATGCTTATCTAAGCTATATTACCTAGTTGCCTGGAAATTCCTGTGAGGACTTACTATATCACTTGCACTCATTCTACATAATTCCTAGGATAGGTCCTGAAGCTGATACACCCAGGTGTCTGTGGATGATGATGGTGGTGGTGGCAGTGATGGTGATGATTGTGATGACAATGATGAAGGCATCTTAACTGTATATTCCAATCCATGCCAATCCCCAGCTGAAAGGCAAATAATGCATGTTCAACCGAAGAGTACTAAGTTCATGCAACAATAAAGGAATAATCACATTTTGATTTAAGGAAAGCAATACTGTGTCTTCCACTTAACATTTCATTATATTCTACCAAACACTATTCCTTTACTGTTCCACACAGGTCAGCCAAGAGAGGGAATGTAAGAGTATGCTGTGACTACACACAGGAGTGAATTTTTGGTTGGTCATTTCTAGAAACTGAAACAGCAGTGATTTTGGTATGTCAGGTGTCATCTATTAATGTTTAATGCTTAACAACGTTGGAGTTGGGTGCTGCTTTTGCACACATCTCTAATCCCAGCACTTGGGAGCCAGAGGTAGGTAGATCTCTGTGAGATTAAGGCCAGCTTGATCTACATAGCAAGTTCCAGGCCGGCTGGGGTTACAAGGAGACATTGTCTCAAAAACAAAAATACACCAAAATACAATATTGGAATCTTTAGAAAAGTTAAGGTAGACTAATTTCAAGATAGAAGACCATTGGAAAGAATTTAGCACACCCTGCTTCTAGTTTGATTGAGCAGAGCCTCTTTAAGTGTTGAACGCTGCTTGAGGGACCACTGTTCGTAGAGTGCCATACACATGGGTAACACAAAGTGAATCAAAAACTTTTCTTTCCTCTTTTTGTCCATTGTTTCACTCTAATTACAGTCCCTTCCTAAGTTTTTGATGCTAAAAGACAGAAATTTTGTTGTATCTGTGTAGTGCATAAGCCATGGATCTTTAAAGAAGCTTCTTTAAACTATATATAGAAAGAAAATGCATTCCTTGATAAATTTTTAATGATTTTAAGCATTTTATTAGCCTAAAGCATATTTTTAAGTTTGTTCAGACAAATATGTAGATTAATTGCAGAAGTACACCAATGGAACAGTGAATTTGTTGGGCTTTTTTCAAACATTTAAGCCACATTTTAAGTGTCAGAAAGAACATGCCATTTCCAATGGGCTGTGAAATAGATGAATAAATAGTAGAGTAACTTTAAAAAACTTTAGGTACAAAGTTTAAAGATAAATTAAAATATTTCATCCTGTTCATAACAATTGTAATGGACTATTAGGAATTCAAAGTTGTTCTGCAACATTCTGAGAAGCATAAGCACCAAGTTTTTTCTAACATCATAGAAATGATGCTTGGAAATAAAATCTGAAGAGTTCACTCCAAATAGGATGCTATTCAGTGCTCAGAAAAGACTATGGAGACCATAATGTGCTAACCCAAAAGAAAAGAAATTCAAATATGCTTTCAAATGTAAAGTGTTCCAATGTTACTTTAAACTGTGTTCTTGCTAGTGATAGAATGATTTTTCCTGGGGATCAATAGAAGTGTCTTTTCTTTTACTGTCATAATAAAAAATTTCCTAGGTATTGTTGAACAAATAGAATACTAATAAAATTACTGACCTACAAGCTGAACAATTACATTCTGATTGTTCAGCAACAGATTTAGGGTTTACCTTAAATGATGCTTTGGATACCAGTATAGAAACATGCCAGATTCATGACTGCTTTCCATTTTTCTTTCATTGCTGTTTTGTTTATGGAATGGCTCTCTAGATATTATGGTTGCTATTTTATAACTGTTGGCAAAATTAGAAAAGTTGGCTGGCTAGAACAATTGGCTTAAAATAGTCTTCTAAGTTGCCATCTCTTTAGACATTAAAAAGTTATATGCTGGGTGTTCAAATTTGAATGGAAAAAAAGGAGTGGATGATGAGGTTGTGTTTATTTCCCTTGATTTCAGGTGAAGCACTTGGCTGAATAAACACTAAAGGAATAGTAAGCAGAGACCAACCCTTTAGATAAGACTTTTACTATGTAAACATTGTAAAGACATAAGTTTTAAATTTTTTCAAGATTGATGCCAGTCCTTGCATTTAGAATGCTGAATATGCACCATATTTACTGGCCCAGGAGCTGAGAGATGAAACATAGGAGTAGGCTAAGACTGTACACAAGAGTGAATTTTTGGCTGGCCATTCCTAGAAAATGAAATAGCAATGATTTCAATATGCCAGCTGGCATCAAGTCATGTTTAATGTTTAACCATATTGGAATAATTAGAAAACTTAGAGCCAGACAAATTTCAAGATAGAAAGGCCTTTGGAAAGAATTTAGCACACCCTGCTTCTCAGACTTCTGCTGTTTTAGGTTTTGTTTTTGACCCAGCACATTCTGTCTTTGTGAGTGAAAAAGGAAATGAGAGTTAAGAAAAACACTGGCCCAGAGTTCGTGTTCACCTAAATCTCAGATGGAGTGATGGCCAATGATCCCAAACACTTACAATTTTACTTACCCTGGAAAACTACTATCCAAGACCCTCAATGAATAGTCTACTGATTATAATTTTGATACATATTAGGTCTTTGAAATTTTAATTATTGTCATAATTTTCCTGATCAATCAAAACCATTTTCTTGGTGTAGATACAAACAGGCAAAATTCAAATTCCAAATGAAAACTACTACGATTATTTTCAGCAAACACCCATACAATCTCATCCAGCAGCTCTAGAATTCTCTACAAGCCCAACTCTCTATACCTGTTGGATTCTCAGAATTAGACAGGTACTGTATTAGGTGTACCCCTTACATTATGTGACTTAATAAAAGTTTCTATCTTTGGGCTATTTTTCTTATCTATAAAATTTAAATGACTATTTTGTTGAATTATTGTGAATGTTAAATAATGGGACTCCACAGTGTTCATCACTGGTCATAGTAATACTAACATCCTTACTACACTGCTTAATTTCCATGTAAAATCATTTTTGGGTAGGAAATACTGGATGAGATCAGCTATAACTAATGTGCTCTCTTCCCCAACACCATTAGAAACTTCTATTATCCACAGACAAATAAGAGAACAATAGTTTCTAGTTTATAATCAATCAATAAAACAAAGTTTATCAACAAACAATATTAAAATTATATGTATTGTGTGCTAGGTATTATTTCAAATGCTTTACTCAAATGAATGCATTCAATCTTTACAGAAAATCTAAGAGTTAAATAAAATCATCCAGCCTGTTTTAACATATGAGAAAAAAACAGGCAGAAGTAACTCACTGAAGGTTATAGCTAGAAAGTGGTAGACCCCGGGGTGACGACCAAAGTCTATACTTTGTAACAGTGTCTTCCTCATTACGCATACCTACGATGGGTCACTATTCTTCATTGAATTTATCAAGAAGCAAAGAAAAAAATACATGTGTACAAGTGAGTTTATTGGTAAATCATAATAGAAACATAAGACTTGAAATATTTTAATGATGCCAGGTCCAGAAATCTGGGTGTGCATGTGGTGTGGTACGTGTATGTGTACGTGTTCATATGTGTGTGTGCATGTGGGCTTGTACATGGAGGCCAAGGTCAATGTCTTGTATCTTCTTCAGTTGTTCTCCACCTTAATTTTTGAGAGAGGGAGTTCACCAATTTTGTAGTGTGGCTGGCCAGTGATCTCACGGATCTACCTTTCAGGTCCTCAAGCCACCACCCCCCCCCCCCCCCCTCAACCCCCCCCCGCCTCTAAGGTTACAGACACTTGCCATGGTGCCTGGGTTTTACACAGGTGTTAATAATCTAAACTCAGGTCTTCATGCTTGAACTGAACTATCTCCAAACTCTTAACATTACTTCATACTAGAATAAGTTAAGGGATTTGAATCTGGTTCGCAGCCTCATCATCTCCTTCCTATCCAGCCAGGCTGCCTTTGAACATGATGTATAAAGACCCAAGATCACTGTGAGTGTTAACTAAGACAATGAACATCAAGAACTTCAGAATTCCTTCCTGGTACACACCAGAAAGATATATGTTTTCTTGAAAATCAATAAACTTAATAATAAAATAATTCTTCCCTATGTAAGATATGTATGGGAAAAGTATATAATATACAGTAAGTTCCCTGTTTTGAGATCTGTGTATAACTCTTTAAAGGCTCACTGTGAGGAAGAAGTATATTAACACAACTTATGAATGGAGAAAATAAGTGGCATGCTTGACTTCTAAACCCTGACCATTGGATCTAATATTAGGCCTTTTTCTCTATTTACTTTTCACATCTATATTTGGTAGCTAACTTTTATTCTATACCTGCAATGCATTCCTTAATTTAACTCTCATAACTCTATGAAGTATCTAATACTAATATCTCTGCCCAACTTCTGCCTTCTATCAAACCCTGCTTCCAACATTGCCCTGTCTATATGAGTTTCTCCAATACCATTCAAACTTACTCAGTATTATGGAGTGTCTGGTTGTCTATAGGGGAAACACCTTTGTAAGAGTGTTTCAGGTTGAGAACAGTAAGACATCCAGTCTCTCAGAGTATGGTTTGAATCTGAAATGTCTCCATAGGCTCATGTTTTGAATGCTCTATCCCTAGCTTATGGCAATATTCTGATGGCTGGGAGTCATTAGGAGTTAGGGCTTGGTTGACAGAAGCAAGTCATTAGGAGCTGGCCTTTGAAAGTTATCCCTATTCCTGGTATTAGCTTGTACTCTCTACTTCCTGTCTGCCAGTGTGGTGACAAGTGTCCCAGGCTCCAGCAGGTCACTGTTGCTACTATCTGCTCTGAAATCTCTTTGAAACTGTGAGCCAAAATAAGCCTTTCCTCCTTAAGCTGTTCATGCCTGGTACTTTGGCCATAACAATGCAAAAGCAACTAACACAGAGAAGTAAAATAAAAGGCTCCCACATGCTCCAATTCTTCCTCATCTCTCTCCCTACAGCTGTTGTATGAAGAGGGATATTGCACATTGGGTTAAATTTTGACAAACTAAAAAGCAAAGTGATACTGACAAATCTTATGAGACCTATACCTCTATCCTAGAGCAATTTTGATCATTGTCTCTCCCACCACTGAATGAATTTGCTATTCTCAATAAATAAAGAATAGAGAAATATACTACATTAAATAGATGTAATTGTAAATAATTTTATGTTGTAAAAGCATATAGGAAACTTCATTAACACTTAAAGAAACACTAAGCCCATACATTCTGAATTGCATATCATTTAGAATACTGTAGAAGAAGCCACAATAAGAGAAAAGGAAACAAATGTTGCTTTAAAAGAAAGGAAATTATGCACGAAGAATATCATAATGAGCTTATAAACTAAGCACATAATACCTTCCAATTCAATGCATTTAAAACATTTTCATTTTGTTTCTCTTCACTAAAAGCCAAGTTATTTTAAGGCTTTCATATTCATTCAACCATCACTTTTATTTGTTTTATTTTAAGCTGGTGGTGCATTTCATTTTAACACCTAGACATAATTTTAATTCAATTACACAGCATTATGTTAGCAGCCCAAGAATATCACTGAAAGTTAAAGTATATCAAGATTCACACCTGGTCTTCACTTGACTGGTTCTCAACAAGGGAACTCTGACAGGACCTAATAGAGACAGACTTCCCCTATCTCCCCGAAAATACCACTTTACATTGACCAGCTAAAAATCAGGGCTTATATATTTCTTATTCAATACAGTTTGTTATATTCTGGTTTAATATTTTCTTGGAAATACCAAAAGGCAGTTCCCATGAATCATGATCAAAATGTAATGTGGACAAAAACATTCAAAAAATTAATTGGAATTACCAAATACAGTTCTAGCTGGAACAGATTCCTTATTTATCCAGAATGAAACTTGAGAAAGGATTACTGTCATAATGCAGGGAATGTATGTCTGGATCATGAAGTAGCCCATCTTCCGGCGGAGGTGGAAGTGAACTGTCATAACCACATATTCACCTGTCATGGAAAATGGAGAAAATGCATGATTGGCTCTGTGGGCCATCATTCAATGGCTTCATAATCCTACTGCAGAGTAACAAACAACATTCTGAGGAAACAAATCATCTTCACTACCTAATTTCGTGAGAAGTGTATAGTTCCCTACAGCAAGTAGGGAAGCAGAAGGGAAGATGATATTGAGCACCATTATTTTTCAGAAAAATATTTTCTGTGAACAGATTAAGCAATTCAATAAATTGGGGTATAACTTTTTTAAAAAAGTTACTGGACCTTTCTGTTTTAAAGGTCCAATAGGTTAAAGTAATTATCTTTCACTTTTCAGCATGTGTGCATTTGTCTACGTATGGTGGAGTTATGTATATGTTTGTGTGTGCAGGTGCATGTGTACTGTGTGTACATTTGCATATGGAAACCAGAGGTCAATATCTGATACTGGGTGACATCCTCTCTAGCTCTCCACCGTTTTTGAGACAGGGTCTCTCATGAACCTGGAGATAACTGATTCTCAAGACCAGTTGACCAGCAAACCCCAGGTACTTTTTGTTTCTGCCTCCCCAGGGCTAGAATTACAGGCATGTACCACCAGCGCTGGCTTTCTATGTGTGTGCTAGGGATCCAAACTCAGGTCTTTATGATTGCACAGTAAACACCTTACCCATTGAGCAACATTCTCTCCATCACAATTTTCAGGATTTTAAGATCAGAAATCAGACTTAATATTTAGAGAAAACCAAGTGAAATAAGTGGAAATAAAAAAAAAACATATACACATACAAAATGAAAAGCTTAATTTTGGAAAGAAATGGAATAAATAGATTTCTATGAAAAAGTTACATAAATATGAATATGTATTTCATTCCAACATATTTCCTGCATATGCATGTACATGAGTGTAAGAGAAGGCTCGGGTACACATGTTTCTAAGTGTCACATATATAAACAAAAGTACAAACAGGTGTAACAGAGACATAATTTAAAAGCCAGTAAGTAAATAAAGCTTCTGGTAGCTGTTGATAAATAGCATTACTAAAAGAAATGTAGAAGGAATGTTATTCAGGATCCCTTGGTCATTCACAGAGTTAAACAAAAATTTCAGAAATCTGAACTCCCAGTTGTGTTTTTAAACCTACCCACAGATGGAAAAATTAATGCCATTCTGAATGTTTGTGTTTCCCAGACTCCTGTAGGAGTACCGTATTAGGAGATCAGAGCATTGTTTCATAAGTGATATAAAGAAGATGTCCCCCAAATGATGATGCACAAAACAGGTATTGGAAAGATAAAAGTCCTGGGAGGTTGCAGGACAAGTGGTGTTGGCGCTGAGAATTTCACAACAGTGCTTGGATGGATGCAAAGTAGTTTCAAGGAAGGAAACAGGTAACTAAAATATTTCTCAGTGAACATTCTCCCTCATTAATTTCATCTTTTCAGAAATAATTTCTCCTCATTTTTATTATTTCTAATTTTAAAATACTTTTGAGGCATGCTTCATGTTCACTATACGTGTTTAACATACATACTTCCTCATCAATTTGGATGTAAGTATTCATCAGTAAAAACAGCATCACAGATAACCTTCATCTCAAAGAGTTTCTTCTAACTTTCTCACTTATTATATTTTTGTGGTAGATACACTTACTATGTGTGTCCACAAATTTTTAAAAGTTCATATGGGATTGTTCACAGGGTGGACCAGGCGGGCAATAATTCTCTAGGACTATTTATTTTCCATAACTGAAATTGTGAGGTGCTCTCCTATTAACCTGCATGATATTTATAAAATTTTATTGATTCCAGAATTTCATACAATGTATTTTGATCACACTTAAACCTCTTCCCCTCTCTCCAGCCCCTTCCCACTACCCCCATTTCATGTCCTCCATTATTATTTTCTTTCTTTCTTTCTTTCTTTCTTTCTTTCTTTCTTTCTTTCTTTCTTTCTTTCTTTCTTTCTCTTTCTTTCTTTCATCTTTCAGACAGGGTCTCCCTGTAGCCTCAGCTGGCCTAGAACTTGCTATGAAGACCAGGCTGACCTTTATCTCACAGAGATCCACTTGTCTCTGCCTCCTGAGTACTGGGATTAAAGGTGTGTGACATCATATCCATATTCTATTATTTATTTATTTATTTAATGTTTTAAACCAAACTTTATTTTATATTGATATAACATTTGTACAGATTTATGAGATACAATTTTTTGGCTCATGTATACAGTGAGTAATGAGTACTGAGGGCAATTAGCATATCTATCAATAGAATGCCTATGAATTTTGGCCCTGATCTTTAATATCTGTATGCACCAGGCAAGTTATTTAAATAATCTGCATTCACATGCTCCTAATCAGGAAAGTGAAGATGGTAATAGTATCAACTTGGCAGGTTGCTTATGAGAATACAGCACAAGGAAAAATTTAGAATGATTCTTCTAAGATATTAACTACCAATAAATTTTAACTACCTCTATTGTCCAAATACTGGTCTAAAAAAATCATATAGTATGCCAGGCATGATGGCACACACTTAGAATTCCAACACTCAGGAAGTTGAGGCAGGACGATCTTCAGTTGAGACCAACTGGACTGCATAGTAAGTTTGAGGCCAACCTGGGCTACATAGTGAGATCTTGTCTCAAAAAAGGGAGTTAGAGGGAATATGGGAACTCTGTAATAAGCACTCAGTTATGTTAAAAAATTTCCTCAAAATAAAGTTGATGAGAAATAACAACAACAACAAAAGGGTTTTGTTTTTTGTTTGTTTTTGCATATCGAGACCTAAATTCCAATGTAGCAATATTGGGATTTGGGCTTTGGGAGAGTAGCCTTGTGAATGGCCTTAGTGTTTCTATAAACCAATCCTCCTAAGCAAGCCCTCCGAATATGCCCTCATATGAGGACTCCTGGAGAACACACACTGTTCTATGTACCAGGAAAGAAGCTCTCAGCAAACACTGAACCTGCTGGCATGATAACCTTGATTTTCCAGATCCTAGACTTGAGGAATAAAGTTCTGTTCTTTTTATAAATACTTAGTTTGTGATATTTTGTTATAGCAGTGTAAATGGACCAAGATAACTGTCATTAAATCTTTCCTAGTAATATTATAGAGAAGAAACAGTTTTGGAACAAGGTAATGTTCCCACTCAACACAATGAAAGATAAATCTTATGAGTCTTTCATTCATATTTCAAAGAGTAAACCTACTTGTGTGACAATCTTAATGTCTACACTTAACATATTTTGTAATTAAGACTCAATTTTGCTTATTCTTTGAAAAAAAAAGGGGGACAAGGCCCTGTAATACTGGGGAAGATTTTATAAAAAGATTTAAACAAACATCACAAAATTAGGCCATACTTCTTGCTCATAATTTTGTTGAAAATAGCTTTAATATATTTAATTATGACTTTTTCTTCAGAATAAGGAAATCTACTCACTTTTCACATACCACCAACTCAGAATTTATGGTAAAGTAAAATTATAAATAAAAATAAATAAATTCTGAGTAGTGATCTATTCATCAGTTCAATTTCTGGAAAATTACTGTTTTCCCCTAAAAACCATGGGTGTTTCCATGAAAAGGCTGGAATAAAACTCCATTGCTGATGCCAAGTAGCACATTGACTTTTGCCATTAAAAGTCTCACCTGAAGGGGGTTGTAGTGATGGCTCAGCAGTTAAGAGCATGGCTGCTCTTGCAGAGGACATGGGTTCGGTTCCCAGCACCCACATGGCAGCTAACAACTGTCTATGATGCTAGTTCCAAGGAAATCTGACACCCTCTCCTGACCTCCGCAGGTATTCCATGACATGGGGGCACTTACATACATGCAAGCAAAACACTCATAAAAATAAAAATTATAAATAAAACTTTTTTAAAATCTCATCTGGAGGGAACTAGGGAGTTAGCTTCGTAAAGTACTTGCCACAAAATCATGAAGACCTGAGTTGGAGTCCCAGAATCATATAAAGCCCTATGTGGTGGCACAGGCTTGTAATCTCAGTGCTGGGGAGGCAGATGGGCAGATCCTTGGGGCTTACTGACCAGTCAGCTAACTTACTCAACAAGCTCCATACCAGTGAGAGACATTGTCTCAAAAGTTTTAGCTGAATGGCACCTGAGGAATGACACCCATTGACTTTTGACCTCCACGTACATGCATACCTGTACATACACATGCATACCCCCACATGATTGCCCATAAAAATCACACACACACAAACACACACACACACACACACACACACACACACACACACACACAAAATCTCACCTGTAATAGATTTAATAGTTTCACTCGATACAGTTTGCCCAATCAGGTCATATTGAACTAAGCTAGAAGACTCCTTTGGCACCTCTACTGACTTCTCAGGACCTTTGGTCCAGGTGTAAATCATCTCACTCTTTGGATAAGCATCTGAAGGAGAGTAAAGAATGTACTTAGAGTCAGGACTCCTTCTTTCTCAACATTAGCAGTCAACACATAATGTGACACATGTTTAACAAAGAGGGAATAAGTGATTATAATTTTCAATAGGTTTTTTAAACACACTTATAGAGAACTTCTGATATTCAACAAGTAGCCTTGCAATTCAGCAGAATTTATTCTTTTACGTAAAAGAAAAACTGGGGGAGGAGGAGACTAGAACTAAGGCATCTATAAGGCTACATCTGTATCCTAGCACGAGGGCTTAGTTTCATGGCAGTTTCCTGTCTTCACAGGAAGCTTAAAAGGCAGATGTAGCAAACCCCCAAAATAATGCTATCAAAGTCCTACTTCTCTCACTTCTGTTTCTCCATGCTTGGTCAGTCCTGACTTGTTCCATCCCAGTATAGCCATGCCATTTAGAAATGTGCCAGATGCTGCCTCAAGTAACACAATAGCAAAACAAAACAAAAAACAATTCTACTTGGCAGGGAGCAGGGCACTCTCCAGGGGTCACTTCTTCTAGACTCTGCCTCTGGGCAATACTGGTGCCATTTGGGAACCATTCTACAAGGACAACTGGCAATGTTGTTTGCCAAGCTCTTACGCAACTATAACTACACAGCCAGTTCCACTACCCTTAGAATCTTACAATAAGGTTCTTTTCCCCTTCTATCTCTAAAACTTCCTCTCCAGTGGCAATTTGGGTGCATTTTCTATTATTTGGTGTTCAGTGCAAGTGGAGACGAGCTGCTTGCTTACCAGTCTACCCAGAACAGATAGTTTGGCTCATACACAAATAAGTTCAAAAGAACCAAAATGAGTTATGTGTCATCCTCCCCTACAAACTTTCCTAAAATGGCTGGAACACAAGAGTTCTTGGTGAACTTTAATTCTACAAAAGGAGTCCATACCCAGAGAGCTTTTTGTTCCAAATGACCTTGTGAAACGAACTATGAGGCTGGAGTTATCATTTAGCATTGCATGGCTTTGTGTCAGCATTCTCCTCTGGAAGTACATTCACACTGTGTTATATATTTAAAGTCCTAAAGACTATGTTCTTGTCTATGATTTTTAAATTAGGGATCCTTTTCTTGGCTACCCTACTTTGCTATAATAGCCTTTTTCTTACATATTCCTCTGAATCGTAGACATAATTTAATAGTAATTTTCTTTCTCCAAAAATTAACAGTTAATTTTCTCAGCAAAATTACTTGCTGGTATATGGTATGCCTTTCTTTTGAATTCCTAATCCATAAAAAAAAAATCACCTTCCAACGTGTAATTCCTTAATGTTATACAAAGCCTGACTGAGCATGAACTTTGTTCCAGTCACTGGAGTTGTGCTTCATGTTAAAATTAGAGGGGATTTGTGGTGGAAGACTTTCTCAAATAGAAACTATCTTTTGTCAAATTTAATTTATTACAGTAAAACACTCAGTTTTCATTCTGGCCCCAGTGAGCTCACCCTCTCCTTTAACTGTTTTTCAGTTTCCATCTTGTCTTTTTAAATCATTGGTCAGAGAGCAAAGGACTTTCTTTAGCTTCAAGACAGCCCACCGAATATTGTAATTATTAAGGTCATAAAAAGAATGGTGACTGCGGATTCTCATTAAGTATGGTAATGAGCAATGGAGGCAGCAGGCAGCAGTTTCACAATCAGGGAAACTAAGGGAGTCTGAAGCAATAGTAAAAGCCAGCTTCTATTTTTGGTAAATTCTGATTGAATCAAATGTTGGAAGCAGACCTCAGAAGAGCAATCATATTTGTTACCATCTCAGAGAATGAAGCTTGAGGAAAAGAATCTCATATTCTTGACTCCCCATTCATCGCCTCCTCTTGCCTTCATCTCTACAAAACTTCCCGAAAATAACTATGTCAGTCATTTGTTTCTCGTGTACCATGCTAGTCTAACACACTGCAGTTCTTGGTTACACTGAAACAGTAGAAACTACCCTCTTGTTTCCACTTCAGCCTCTCTACAATCCATTCTGCACCAAAGAGCTAACATGAAATCATTCACTATCAGTGAAAGAAGGCCACATCTCTTTGTAAAAGTCTTTCAAAGTTTTTCCCAGATTTTTAAAAAGAATTAAACTCCATAATGTAGTCTCTGGTGGTCTGTCGGCCACTGTAATCCCATATTCGACCTCAGCTAGGCATTTTCCACATGTCAGCTCCTCTCACACTAATAGTGCTGCTTATAATATTCTAACTTACGTCATGTCAGGAAAGTACGAACCTTTCTTGGCCTTCTTTAAGTGATTTTATCTGCAGCCGAAACTGTTCGATTATAACCCTCTCACTGCCAATTTCTATGTTACCCCCCCACACACACACACTGTTCCTGAATCCTTAAATTTCACAACTGCCCTCTAACCTATCAGTTACAACTTAGTCTTCTATGGAGCATCTTAAAAAATTAGATTTTGTTGAGAGTGTTTCTTTATTTAAAAAAATTAATTAGTAGGCTTCTAAAACACAAACCATGGAAAATTTTTCTCATGGATAATCATTTAACTGCTGAATTATGGGAAAATCACACACATACAAATATGAATTTACATGACATTATCAGAAATGTGAACAACTTCTATCGTAACTTACAACTCCCAAACTTCAAAGGACATGCATGACCATCCATAGGAAAATCCACCAATCTCATGGGACACTCAGCACTTATGGTGAGTCTATAATGGAAAAATGAAAGTAAGGAAAATCAACCGTAAGTAAAAGTAATTTTACAGATTCTTAAAATGGAGGGAAAAGGAAATCGGGGAAGGGAAGGAGAAGAGTCAGGACAGACAAGAAGTAAGGAGAAAGAAATAGAAAGGAATGAAGAAAAAACTATTACCTCATCGTGTATAAAATAGTGCCATTTCTCATAATTCTAAAAAGCTTATTTGGAGCTGTCATGTTATGTGAGACAGATTTTTTTCCATTCCTGAAGAAAGTATCAGGGGTCCAAACTTTGGTTACCATCATATTGTTTAATCTCAAAATTTCAATGGGGCCATCATATCTCAGTCTTTTGTCAATCCATGTCTGTCTGAAGAACACATCCATTGTGTATTCCTAGGGAAATCGGTTTGTGGCATATTCAAGTCACAGATGACTACATACATATACACAAAAGATGCAATAAATTTTATTCTCTCCCAATCAGAAAAAGACTAATCAGAGGAAATAAATATAAGCAGAGATTATCTTAAATCAATAGAACAAAAAGATTATCAGCAGCATCCACTGAATCCCTTTAGTTTATACATTCATAAAAAGTAGATCACCACACATGAAATCATTGATGAATATTTACTCTAATTAAAAGCTGCCAACATCAGGCAATTATAGCTGTGCTTCACTTTAAATCAGAGAGCAAAAATCAGTTAATGTGTAACAGGTATCACTGTATAATTAATAACATAATATAGACATTTAAGGTGAAGCAAAATAGATAAAAGATTAATTTTGTTTTCATAAGATTCATTAAAAATTATTCAAAAATTCCCTAAAGATTTCAAGTCACTAGGAGCCTAAGGTCAAGGAAAATGTTAAGTAGATATTTATTCGTATTAACCAAAGATATTTACTATAAGACAGCACAGCTGAAGAGATGAATGTTTCTTGACAAATGCTTTGTCTTCTGATCTTTTCAAGCATGGGAGAGAGGGAGGGAGTGATGGAGCAGGGAGGGGGAACCAACAAACAACTGAGCCAGCAAGAATACAAACTGTGGTTAGGAGTATAGCATTGCATGCACGGTTTATACCAAAACTACGATGACCTACGATTTTCTCCTCCTCAATAGTTTTTGAAAGAACACAAAGTATTCACTAGGCAAATAGTCCAAGGAAAGTCTTCTCTGTTGAGAAAGACTCCGAATTAATAAATATTCAAACCACAGAGATGGGATGCATACTGAGAATCTTGTTCCTTATAAACTGCTAGGTTTAATCAGCCTTTCGCTGTGTGTGATTGACAATGTAATAAATATTAATTGCCTTGTTTCTGGCACATTTTCTTCAAGCCTCAAAAGGAACATTAAACTTCCCAGATACCTACCATTTCAACATCAGAAACAGGTCCAAAGCTGGTGACATATATGTCAGTTTTCACTTCTGTAACAGGACCTAGTAAGTAGGTGTGAAAAAATAATTACGAATGTTACAGCCTTGGAGGATTAGATAATTAAAGAATGAATACAGATGTGATATATCATGCTTTCATTTGCACCCTGAATTTTCAATGAGATAATCAATCTCTACAAAAACTGTAGTTCAGACAAACAAACGAACACAAAACAGATTAAAAAGAACGAAGGAAGGAAGGAAGGAGAGAGGGAGGGAAGGAGGGGGGAGGGAGGGAAGTGCTTCCTCAGCAGACAAAAAGAAACCATTGTATCTAGAAAGATACATCACCCCTAGGCACTGTTATGACAAGCAGTGTAGAGACACAAAAGCTTTCTCCTTTTGTGATTTTTGAGTGTCAGTCATTTGATTGGCCTCTATAAAAAAGTGAGCTGTTCAAAAGAAGAAACATGGCTGCAGGAGTGAAGCGGACAAAGCCATAAAGGCTGTAAGGAATGCATCTTTGAGGAGTTGAGGATACTCGTAAATAACTTTAAAAATTATTCCTGTCACTTTAACAATAGGTATTCCATCCACTTTGATTGGGATCAAAGTTATAACTATTCATGTCCTACCACCTGTTAGCTCTGTGATTTCCAGAAAGTTATTTAACCCCTCAACTGCAATACCCACATCTGTCCTATAAAAATTTTATAGAGATCAAAACGAAATGCTGAACACATTGACTCCATCAACAGCAAGCTCATTCCATATGAGTTTCTCTGGGACCTTACCAAGTTTCTCTCCTCTAAGTAAATCTCACTCGTGAACAAGTGTATTAATGTTTGGCCCAAAGGTAAAGATGGAGGCATGATGCCAATATGGCTGATACAGATTTGAGATGAAAGAGTATCACCCCTGTCTGGGTTTAGCATGCTATTTAAACCTGAGGAATTTAGATTAAACTCTTAACATTTTCTAGTTGTATGACTATGATCCTGTCATATATCTTTAAACACAAAAATTTTAGTGAATATCATGGTGGTGCATGCCTTTAATCCCAGCACTTGGGAGGCAGAGGCAGGTGGATCTCTGTGAGTTCAAGGCCACCTGATCTACATAGGAGGTTCCAGGCCAGTTGGAGCTACAGAGAGACCCTGTCTCAAAAAGACTAAATAAATAAATAAATAAATAAATAAATACATACATACATACATAAATAAATAATATATTTGCTGAGATAATATAGGCAAATCCCATTCCTAGAACATAATGTGTTCATAATGTTTTAAGTAATGATAGCTGTTATTTTAGATAATTCAGCATTTTATTACAAATAAAAATATAGAAACTGTTGCCATCTTAAATATTGTTTCCTTAAATGATTGTTTATAATGCTGAAATGCTAGAGGCTATATACTCTATAGCTAGAAATATTAACACCTGGCATTAAAATAGAATATCTCCCTTGGATACAGGTTGGGAAATTGGATTTATACCAAAAAACACAAACAGCAATTGTTATCACTTAAGGCTTTATGCCTAAAGTCAGCTTCATGAAAGCAAATCCAAATATTTCTCCCTCTACATGATAATGACTGGGCCACACAAACAAATACAGATTTAGGGATTAATGAGAAAATTATTTATTGAATAAGTATCCTGAGAAAAATATAACTTTTATAAATATGATGAAAATAAGGGAATAGATCGTGCTTTTAGTTTTACACTGTATAAAATGTGCCTCTTCAGAGAGGGAAGTTGATTGAATTTTTATTTGAATGGGAAATTAGAGACAATAACAAAAAATGATAGTGGTAAGCTCATTAAAACCAAATTATTCTAGACATAGGTAATCTAGGAAGCAAGTGATCTATAATTTCTTAAACCCTGGAAGATAGCAATTTCCCTCAAAAGTGGGAGAAACCATTGTCTCATTACCTTAGGCACAATTGAAAAATTACCAGAAGGCAGAAATGCTACATCACTGCAAGTGAGGGCAATGGGAGATAGGCTCCTGCAGGCAACTGGGGGGACAATGCTGTGCTGCTTAGTTTTTGTCAATTTGACACAAACTGGAATCACCTGGGAAGAAGAGACCTCAATTGAGGAACTACTTTCAACAGACCGAGCTGTGGGCAAGTTTGTGGGGCTTTTTTTGGATTGTTAATTGCTATAGGAGGGCCCAGGCCACTGTGAACCTTTCCATGCCTAGGCAAGCGGGCCTGAGCTATATAAGACAGGTAGCAGAGCAAGGGAGGGAAACCAAGCCAGTGAGTAGCATTTCCTTCATGGTTTCTAATTTACTTCCTGCATCCAAGTTTCTGCCCTGAGCTTCTGCCCTGCTTTCTGCTAGTGATGGGCTGTCAGTTGGAAGTATAAAATGCAATAAATCCTTTCCTCCCATCCTCTTTTATGTAACTGTTTTATCATAGCAATAAATCTACCTTAAATAAATCACACCCTTAAATCTACCAATTTAGTAGGAACAAGGGAGGACCTGATAATTTGCTCTTTTTAACAAGTACCAGTATACTCTAGTTTACAGATATTCACTCATCTGTTTTCTACAATAGTATTTACAACAGTGTCCTATGAAATACTGACACCATGGGTGTGCCAAGGGAATGAGTTGGGGGGAACAGAGGAGTAGAGAACGAACAGGGACAGTATTTCTCTTTATTAATGTATTGTAAGGTATGTGAGCTTATGTTAATTCTTGTGGTTAAAATTATCTACACATGATAACAGACATTTCTAAATTCTTACCTAATATAATTCTTCTGCAATGGTTCTAGATTAACACTTTATGTTCAGAATTATACCCTTGGTCTTTGAGACTAGCACTTGCTTTGTATGAGTCAGTGTATTTTGAGACTGAAATCCTAAACACATATGACAGGTAAAGGGATTTCAACAACACCCATTCAATAAACAGTTGCATGAACACCTGGCTACACGACAGGTTCCAGAGGAGTTCCCTGTCCAAAGGACTTACCATGCTGCTAAGTAACTGTTACAGGAATCAGAGTGCTAGTCATAAAGAAATAAAGGAAACGACAGAATGCTAGCATTTCAAGATGGAGTGCAGGCAGATAAGAAAGGGAGACTGGGAAAGGGATGTTAGGTTGTTGCTCAGAACTGCTTCTTCAAAGCACTAACTTTCAAACTAAATCCTGGAGTATACTCATGAACTACTAGAAGAGTGAGGCCCACTCCAAGTGACAAAGGTCAAGAGTGGAATCCTTCCTTGTGTATTCAAGAACTAGAAAAGAGACCAATTGAGCAACGCAAGACAAAAGAGGAAGGGAGTGATAAGAAGTTAAAGCCACAAAGATAATTAAAACCAGGGTGTCCTAGACTCATTTTCTGGAAAGTGGTATATTTTAAGTCCCATATTTAAAACCACATGCAAAAAGACTTGGAATACCAAGACCTGGAGATGCATGAGAAGGTTTCTGTGGACTAAATTGTGCTCCACTCAAATTCATGTGTTGAGTTCTATCATACCATCTAATGACTATATTTGGAGATAATTATTTAAAATATATAATTTCATTAAAATGAAGTCATGTGGATGAGTTCTAATGCAGTATGACTGTCTGGTTGCTTTATAAACAAGGGAGATGTAACACTGACACATACCAAAGAAGACCTCTGTGTAGACACAGAAGAGATGCCTTTTCCAACCCAAGAAACCAACTGACACCTTGATGTGTCCAGAATTGTTGAAAACTTGATTTCTGCTGTTTAAGCTACCTCATCTGTAGTAATTTGTTATGGTGATTAAAGCAAGTGAGCACAGAGGATGTCATATTTCTGATGTTTTTTCCCTAGGTTATCTTCCTCTAATAATTAGTTTAGCTCTGACATGCAAGCAAAGAGTAAGAACTTTGACTTCTATCCCAAACTCATTGAGAGACCATCGAGGACATGAAGCAAGGAAAGATCAGGATTGAATTATACATACATTTTAAAAATCATTGGGAGCTGCAGAGATTATTCAACCATTAAGAGCACTGGCTGCTCTTGCAGAGGACTAGGGTTCGGTTCCCAGCACCCATGTAATGGCTAACAGCAGTCTATAACTCTAGTCCAGGGGATCTGACACCTACTTCTGGCCTCTGTCAGCAGTGCATGACACAGGTACACTTACATATGTGCAGGCAAAACATTCATACATAAAATTAAAATAAAACAATTTTTAAAAATGTAATCATCTAGACATTTGCATGGAAAATAACTTTTAGAGGAAAAAGAGCATAAAAAGGCCCTTACAAGAGGTTGTTACCCTATGCAAATTGACAGACAATGGTGGTCAGGACCAGAGAGTGGAATGGGCCTAAAGAGTGACCAGTTCAGGTGGCATACTTTGTATGACTGCTCACAGGTCATTTGACCTGATATAATGAGCAAAAAATACTTATTATTATAAATTATTTTATATATTTTATAATTTTTTGATTTACTTTTTATGTGTATGCATACTATGCCTCCATGTATATAAGTTCACACATATCATGCAATACCTGCAGAAGACAGAAGAGGATGTTGCATCACCTAAACCTGGATTTACAGACTGTTGTTAGCTACCATGTGGGTGCTGGGATTTAAACCTGGGTCTTCTGCAACAGCAGCCAATGCTCTCCAGCCATCTCTCCACCCCCCATCATATGTATGAAGATTTATTTCATGTCAGACAAGATACTAAACTTCTCCCATTTGATATTTCACTTTATTTTACCACACCCTCCATGTTTTTATCATGAGAAGATTTTATGACTCTGAAAACTGAGTTCACTAAAGCTATATGCCAAAGAAAGAATTTTAACCCCTTGTACTAGCCTCCAAGATGTGTCCCAGCTTCACTACATTATATGATGTCATAAAATAATAACTCACAGTTATTTAAATATAGAATTTTATTGCCGTATTTTAATTTTTCACTCAGCATAATTACATGCTATACCTATATTCCCTTTGCTCAAGAGAAGGTTCTGAATTATATTCATGCTGTCCTTTGTGTCTTACTTCAACCTGCTTGAATCTGTATTTTAATCATT